TGAAAAATATTGTCATCAAGATGGTGACCATCACGTTGGATGCAGTTTTCGATCCTCTTCTCTCAATAGTCAGGATTTCATGGCGAATTGCTTCAAGTCGATCAAATTACGAGGCTTGCTAGCATGAACATGACTCTTTAAATACCCCATAGAAAAAAATCACAAATTGTTAGGTCTGTAGACCTTGGAGGTCACGGCAAATTTCCGCATTGTAAATAAGTTGCCCTGGGAACAGGTTGCGGAGAATATTCCTTGGGTTTATCCCTTTCTGCGTAGTTCTGGAACCAAAAAATTTTAGTTCATGTCAACGTAGAGAATAGAATTAACGGTGACGGTAAGGCCAGCCTCTTCGAAAAAATATGGCCTAATAATGTCAGTCGGACCATTTTGAGAATGTAAAGGGCGCTAATGAGGATTTCGTGAGTTTTCAGTAGCCCAGTACCTATAAGTCTGTTTATTAACGATTCCGTTTAAATGAAAATGAGCTTCGTCGCTCATCAGAAGATGCTGACCTAAGTTATCCTCCAAAAGAACTTGCATTCTCGTATCGAAATCCTCACGTTGTTCAACATCTCTTTCCATTAATTTCTGGATAAGCTGCAATTTGTAGGAGTGAAATTTTAGGTCCTTATGCAATATTTTTCTACACGATTCCCGATTAATGTCTAGCTCAATTGCATGTTTTTGGGCGGACCGTGTAGTGCTCCCATCGAGCAAAAAGACAAAAGAGGGAATGTAAAGGTAGTGGGGGCAAACATATTGTTAGACAAGAAGTGAGATCTTTGGAGGCCACATTAAACAAGGAAACAGAGTCTCTCTCCTTATTTGACATAAAATTTAGTTGGGTTATGTTATTGTTTTTCTCAAATGTCAGATGAAATCTTATTTGTATTGAAGTTTTAGACTCTTATCATTAATAATTAATTAAAACTTTCTTGTCTAAGACACATTCTGAAAAATATTATATAGCTACTGTTGATAAGTGTCGGAAAATTTAAATTTGGCGCATTTGCATTTCCGGATATGTCCGCCATCAGAGGCCACTTTTTTGGTCTCCTTTTCATAAGGATTAGATTCCCTCTGTTGTCTTATTGCTCGATGAGTGCTCCTGAGGACGGCATCTCTTACTCGCTGTATGTTTACAGGGGTTATTACTTTTCTATTCGGACCTAGTTTCTTTTTTTCATGACACTGTTTATTGTTCTAAAATGGATTTACGAAGAGTATGTACGCCATAAAAAAGTGTCTTAAATAAAAAATGTAGCTGAATAAAAAATCTAACACTTTTTGTGTAGAAAGTATCGTTATAACAGGTACGCGCGCAAAATCAATTTTAAATACAATTTGTATTAATTTGACGGTAAAAATTTGATATGTTTTGATAAGATTGTCCTATTGACAAAAATTAAAATGTATTTTAAAGGTGAAAATTGCAGCTTTCTTATATCATTTTTGTATATTGCCTCAAAAAAAGTCAGTTTCTATAAAGTTTGTTAAATAAATAAACATATTCCCATGAGATCAATAAAATTTATCACTTCCATTGACCGGTAACTATGGAATTATTGGAGCTCAGTCTTCAAAACATATAGCCTGAAATTTTGGTTTTGATTATCTTTAATTTATACAATATTTTTCTATTAGGTACTAAAAACCAAATTACCTATAAATTATTTATAAAAAAATTGTATATTTTTATAATTAGTTAATGTTTGTGAATATTTTATGTTAAAACTAAAATATTGTCTTTAAAAAGTTTATAAGAGATATCGTATTATAAATTTTTAGTAAAATAAACATAAGATTTTGATTGTATTATTTAGTAATTGACTTCCAGCAAAAAAGACTATGTTTTTCCTCACTTTCCAAATGTAAGAAAAGGAAATCTGTTGTCCCGATTTAGGGAATAGAAGATATATACAGTTCAAATTAATCAAGAATAATAAAAACTGGAAATTTAAATATTTACAATATATTAGATGGTTGAACCTTACGCATTTTGAACTAGATTTTCATATGTTTCGTCTACTGTAAATTGGCCAAAGTTTGAGATTAGAAAACAACAAAGTCTTATTTTTTTGCAGAGAGAAAGATATTCGTTTCTGACGTTCTTTAAAACTAGTTAATCACAATATCATTCAATGATAATAAAGAGAACGTATCTTCAAAGAGGAAATCTTATTCCTTAGCAGCTTCCTAGCAGAATTATTCTACTAAGTTCCAAGAACAAGCTATAATATTTACTGCTATAAATAATGCCTGTAAGCATGAATATTGAGAAAGTAGAGATTGAAGAGACGAAGATAAACATATTGAACCAGTAAAATGGTTAAAATCAGAAGAATCAGCAGGTCCAGATGAAATCAACAGTGAAAATGGAGGAGAAGAACTGATGCACCAGATTTATAAACTAATAAAATATATATAGAGGTCGGAAAATATGCCTTTGAAGTGGGGAAACAGATCAAAAATGACCAAAGGTAGCAGATCAGTAGGCCGACCGAGAAAAAGATGGAAGGATGATATTGAAGCTGATTTATCTAGAATTGGTATACAACAATGGGTAATAGAAGCGCAAGATCGTAGAGGATGGAGGGCGATAGTGGATGCGGCGAAGACTCACACCGAGTTGTAAAGCCAGTAAAGAAGAAAAAAACATATCTGTCAATAGTTGAGTAAAAGGCTGTACAAAAGTCTGCTGGAGATGCACCAAGAAAGGTGCACATACCAGGACAACCCAGAAAGTATGATTTGGGAAATGAAGTACTCAGACCACCAAGTAACCTCAAAAGCCTCAAGTTATTGAAAAAATTATTGGTGTAAAGAAAAATGTAGGAAAGAAATTTGTTTTGGTCAAGAAACGTAAGATATCTAGGGCAGCTAAGACATCATTTAGCCAGAACAAGAAACCTATTAGAAATACAATTAATCCTGGAACAGTTATTATTGTGTTAGCTGGTTAGCAGCCTAATTGAGCTGTCAGAAAATCTTAATGATGAATATTTTGCAAGGAAAAGGCAGAAGAGGTCCAAGAAAAGGAAAGTTACAAAGTAAGCGAAGATAAGAAAGCTAGCTAAAAGAATTTAGATACAGAAGTTCTGGCTGCAATTAAGAAGCCCTCATTCCGCAATGTTTCTCAAGACTTCTTTTAACTTGTTTGTCAGCTATGTGGAGACTTAGATTATTACAATACTCACACAGGTTGAGGTTGATTGAATGAAAGGAAACCATAAATTATTTGTCTTTTGCTTTGTAAATAAAAAGTTTCTTAAGATGATTAGCATCTTTAGAAAAAATAGAAAGTAGAAAGCAGTGGAGGGAGCTTAAACAAGCGGAGCGGACCACCTTAATTGCCTATCGGGTGAAATCACACAATAATTTGTGAAGGAACCCGTTAGAGAACCAAAAAAACAAAGAAAATGCGAAAAACTCCGGGAAAAACGGATCAAAATAGCTCATACTAATGGGCGGCTTATACTTCTGCCCAGGAGTGGCAGGCACGTACATAAATTATGCCTATCTCGACGATTGCCTTATTTCCCTAGGAACTTCTATAAACCCAAAGAGTATTTAATACTCAATAATGACGTTAATTATTAATAACTTGACAAGGTAGGACAAGTAAACTGTCTTCTGAGCCTTGTAAATTTCGCATTATCTTTAAACATGACGATCAGTAGTTCATACTTCCAACATCTTCTTCTGGTGCACTCTATTACTGAAGATTTGTGATCACTACATTAAAATATTCTCTATTCTGCGCCACTCTTAGTAATTGTTGAACATTCACGTTCACAATTATAATTTATTCGTCTTCCGGGTTTGGACCGTGTCATTTGTGAGTGACCCAAGGGATGGGTCACTCACAAATGACACGGTCCAAACCCGGAAGACGAATAAATTATAATTCTGACTCTGGCCGTGGAAGCCTACGATCTCATTTACGTTCACGTTCAACTTCCAGCGTGTACATAAAATGACGTTTGATTGCGATCACTATTATATCGGATATATCGGATATAACTGTCGGAAGGACAGTTAACTTCATAAGGATTTCTTACCACGTGGGAATTTCCAAAAATGAAGATCTATATTAAGATTTAAAATGCAGAAACATTCTCAAAGTATGTAACAGACGATTTAAAAGTTTCTATAAAGCAAAAAGTATTGAAAGCCTGGCATAACAAATAGCAAACCTTAACATTTTCTTTAAATAAAAAAAGGATTTCTTCCTAATTTTACAGAGTTTAATAAAGTACATATATACACAAACTAAACAAATACTTTTTTCACATTTCCAATAGCAGCTTCGCCTTCTACCTAGGCGGGGAGTGAATCCCTTGGGGAGTGAACGCCTCTCGACGCGTTAGTGTTCTGAGCTGTTGGACGTGAATCCCTGTCCTGGCATTTGGTTTTCACCTCTGGCTGCGTTGAGTAGTTGAGTTACTGTGACCAAATGCCCATCTGGGTAGTTAGTATTCGCCTCTGGTTGCGTTGAGTAACTGAGTTACCGTTGCTAACTACCCATCTTCCTGTCTTTTGTTTTCTTTCTTTTTCTTTTTCTTTGTTCTCCTGAAGAAGCTACATACAATTGTAGCGAAACGTCGAGATGAACCCACTTTTGGGTCACTCACAAATGACACGGTCCAAACCCGGAAGACGAATAAATTATAATTCTGACTCTGGCCGTGGAAGCCTACGATCTCATTTACGTTCACGTTCAACTTCCAGCGTGTACATAAAATGACGTTTGATTGCGATCACTATTATATCGGATATATCGGATATAACTGTCGGAAGGACAGTTAACTTCATAAGGATTTCTTACCACGTGGGTATTTCCAAAAATGAAGATCTATATTAAGATTTAAAATACAGAATCAATCTCAAAGTATGTAACAGACGATTTAAAAGTTTCTATAAAGCAAAAAGTATTGAAAGCCTGGCATAACAAATAGCAAACCTTAACATTTTCTTTAAATAAAAAAAGGATTTCTACGTAATTTTACAGAGTTTAATAAAGTACATATATACACAAACTAAACAAATACTTTTTTCACATTTCCAATAGCAGCTTCAACTTCTACTTCAACTAATGAGTTTAATGGAAGGGCTCCTACAGCAAAACCTGTTCTAGCTGGAGGACCGTTTTTAAAATCTGTAAAAAACATAATAAGTTAACAATTTATCTTCGTGATTAAATATAAGTTGATTAGATATTTAAACGTCAAAATTAGAAACGGCAAGGGGATCTATATTTTTTAACTCCACATTGTCATTATTCTACATTACATTACCTCAACTCATCTCCATGAACACAAAATGGCCTCAATAGTTCTATAACAATTTTCTAGATCAAGAAAATTATTATAAGTATCTTCATTTTACCTTTCGTTACTATCGAGACATTCAGTTAAATCTGGTGCCGCTTCGCAACCCGTTTTCCTCATAATATATTTACCATTTAGGTATTTTTATCCCACAGCTATCAGGTAAGCGACCATACCCACACGAGCCGTGCTTTGCTCTCAACTCCATACTGAAAGAAATCATATTCATTCCTTTATTTAGATTCCATAAACATACGAATAATCACCAATCTTTACTATAACCAAAGGGCTCCAATATAAATTGTAAAAAGATCAACAGAAGAAACAAACGTTAAACAAAAAAAGAGTAGAAACAAGCAAAGAATATGGACTAATAGTAAACATAAACAAAAGTAAATTTATGGTTATATCGAAAAAAAAAACATTAATAAGAAATGCCTTTATGAATATGAAAAAAATGTTAACCAGTCGAGACGAGCTTAAAATCAAAAATACGTCTAGTAAAATTTTATATTCATTATATCCTTCTCTATAGTGTGGTGACGTGAAGAATAAATAAGTATTGCTAGAACAAAATAGAAGCATTCTAACTATAAACTTTTTAATATTGAATATTAAAAGTACCCTGGACTGATAAAAAAACAAACGCAGAAGTACTCAGAAGAAAAGGAGTTACTGCTGACCATCAAAAGTCCAAAACTTCAATATTTTAGACATGTTATGCTTGTAGATAATCCTCAACCTCTACTGAACACAAACCAGAGAATAATATTAAGAAAAATTAGTATAGCTGCGAAAGTTGAGAAAATGATTGGTTGTAAGTTGTAATTCTGATCAACTGTTCCGTGCGTCTGTATCTAAAATCCAAATAGCACCTTGATCTCTCCCCAATTAAAAATATATGAAATACTATTCTGTTCTGATACGGAAGAACCGTTGAACACTATAAGAGAAAAATAATACAATATAGAACTACTCCAAGAACAATCAATAAGAGAACTATACAAGTAACGTCTAGACCAAAAAGTAATAGAATACAAATACAGCAACATCGAAGAAATATACGAGCATATAAAGGCGAGTATAAAACAAGCAGCATTCGAAGCCCTTGGAGATAAAGAACATATAACAAGTATACAGCACTATTATGAAATAAAGGAACCAACAAAAAGAATAATTGAAGAAAAAAAGCAACTATACAGAAAATGGCTGACTACAAACAACGATGAAGTTTATAAAGAATATAGAGAAAAAAATATAGAAGTGAAAAAACAAATAACACAACAAAAGAATGAAGAATGGCAAAGAACCCGCTTTAATATTGAAACATACATAGGAGGTACAAGTATTTCGGAGTCATGGAAAGTTCTAAGAGGATTGAAACAAAACTCAAAAAAAATTAAATTGAGAAATATACAGGACAAAGAATGAAAGGACTATTACAAGGAACTGTTAACAGAACAAAGACCACAATTCATTGGAAAAGAAAACAGGCGAAGACGAAGCAGATCCAAACAACAAGAAATATAAATAACAGATAGGGGAATGAGAAAGGCTATATAAGCAATCAAAAATAAGAAAGCACAGAGACCTGTAGGCATCTCACCTGAGCTTATAAAGAACGGCTCAAAAAATTTCACCAGATAATAAATTAGATATTTCAGAAAGCCATAAATGGAGAACAGCATCCAAAGGAATGGACGGACGCATATATGACATCTATATTTAAGAAAGGAGATAGAAAACGATGCGAAAACTACAGAGGACTAAGCGTAATATCATCAATAGGAAGATTATACGGAAGATACTGTGAGAAAAGATAGAGCAAGCGATAAAAGGCAAAATCATGGAGGGCAGGCAGGTTTCACGGCAGGAAGATCATGCATAGTCCACATATACACACTGGAAAAAGCTACAAAAGCTCTGAATAAAGAAAATAAAGCGTTCACAGGTAAAAAATAATGTGTTGCACAATAAAAGGGCTCCCGCAGGGTTGTTCCACATGTCCAAACCTATTCAAAATATACTTAGAGAAAGCCTTAACTACATGGAACAACTGTTATTTTGGCTCATTTCTCCCTTTGGCTTTTCTCCTCTCTTCAATTAATGCTAGAATTTCTGAAGTCATCCACTTCTGTTTTTCATTTGTCTTTTCATTCTTTAAACTGTCTTCTGCAGCCTTTAGTAATGTCTTCTGAATATTGCTCCACTTCTCTTTGACACCTTCTGATGTTAAAATTTCTTCTTCTACTTCTATTAGATTTGATTTGACTTGTTGGATCACTTTTTGATGTATTTCGCTTTTTCTTAATTTTGTGTAATCAAACGTTGGTTAGTTTTTAGGTATTACAATATTTTTGAGTTTCACGTGCATTCTAGCTATCTGCAGGTTATGGTCTGAGTTGACATCTGCTCCGGAGATCTCCAAGTGTATAATGTTCTGTCGGATAGTTGGAACATTGTGTTCATTATTGCAAAATATTCATTATGACAAAAATCCATAAGTCTATCCCTTGTTTCGTTTCTGTCACCTTTTTTTTTTATTTGCCGTATTGCCAGATTCCAGTAAGAGCCTAAGAAGGTATCCATTGAATTCTGACAGGCAACGGTGGGGGAAATCTTTTTTGGACCACGGAACAAGACACTCTGGTATCTTTCGGCCGAGTGGGATACTAAGCCAGAAGACCCCAGCGTAGTGCCGGATTAACCAAATCGTTTCTGTCACCTAGTCCAAATTTTCTAACATATTCTTCAACTTTTCCTCTCCCCACTTTGACGTTACCATTACTATTGTACTTTCTTTTTTAATAGATCTTACAATTGTGTCTAACTCCATGTAAAAATGTTCTATCTCCTCTTCATCCTTATCCGCTGTTGGTGCGGTCACTTTCTTAGAAGCCCATATTTGTGGAACATAGAGTAGATGCATGTACACAAAAGATCTTTCAGATCTCAGTGTGAAAAGTTCAAAGATATTTAACGACTATTTTGAAGTCTGGAGTGGTTACTGCAATTTTATAGATTAGGGTTTGTGTTTTAATAACATGTTATGTTCACAGGATTTAAATAATTTTCCATCGCACTCATATCCCCATTTTTTCAAACTATTTCCACTGGCAGAAACCAACATGCATGTTTGTATTTTATCTTCACAGTACGATTTGATATAAATCAATTCTGAAGGCAATTAAAGTAAGCAGGTGGTTAAAAATGTGGAAAAAGATTGATTATTATTATTATACTTTAGAATGCATATGGTTCGTGACAATTAGAGAAATATGCAAAGTAATTAATTTATAAAAATATTATACCCTATAAAATTCATTACAAGCGTAGAAACTACCAAGTAAGGTATATCTCCTTGACCTAAATAGTAAAAATGAGTATGCTATTGTATATTTTTTCTTTCAAAAACACGTGTATCTTACAGGTGCTGCGATTAATTACAGCCCATGATAAAAATATTTTTTTTACACGGAAATAGAATCAGGTTATTCTTAAATATAAATTGGTTACACTTATGAAATTACAAGTATCTACGATTGCTTTTTTTAATCAAGGAAAAAATCAACAATAACATTGGGTTATTATTATCACAGTGCTTCTTAATTAAGTTCGAAGACAAATCACTTCGTCGAAAGAGTAAGGTGAAAATCAAGTAAGTAAAAGGTCAATACAAATGCATTAATGATGGATGCGTATGTATAATTAAGTTCTACATCCCAAGACAACAGAAAAGACAAAAATAGATATGTTGTTCTTGACAACTTTCGATTTTTAATGCTGACTTTTATTTAAAAACAAATTCAAATTTTTTTAGTGTCAATTGGATCGAAATAATAATACGAAAATCAAATTTCGATTTTCTAAATTATGTTGTCTGTCTGCCCAGTCTTGGATTGGAAAAACTATAGTTTATTTTTATGAACGAGAGAGTAATTAGCATAATTTTACCTGGTATCTCCGACCACTCCATGGGTGTGCTCAAGATTAATTGAAAAATTACTTTGAATAATTGTAAAAAATAAATGAATTATTTCAGTGTTATAAAGTGTTATGTGTATGTAAACAAAAGTGACCTCTTTTATCACACACTATATTAGAACTGACTGGCCTACATTAAAAAGGGTTTTAAAAAATTCACATTTTTTTAATTTTTAAAAATTACAAAAGAGAAAAAGAGTTTTTAAAACCGTCTAAGGTATGTTAAATAGATGAATAAAAATATTAATATAAAACTTACAGCTACTTGTTACAAATCCAAATCAGATTCAGAAGATGAACTTTCAGAACCAAGATTTATAATAACTGGCTCGATCATTTTATCAGTAATATTGTCCAGCTTCCACATTTTTTCCTCTACTTTAATAGTGTGATTTACTGCCTCTTCCCAGTTTTCAGGTTTTACATTATTTACGGCCTCCAAAAACAACTGTTTAACATCATGAATTTTAAAAGTGGTATTTTTCTTGAAACTTCACTCTTTATCTGTGCCCATACCAGTTCAATCGGGTTTAATTCACAATGATATGGTGGGGATCTAAGTACTGTCATTCCACGATTTTTGGCAATTTCATCAATTTCGTATTTTTTAAATTTTTCTTTATGAAGGGCACACAACGAATAAAGTTCCTTTCTTATAGATCCGGGATGGTACGTAATATTTTTTGAACTCAGCCAATTCTGCAAGTCTTTTTTTAACCACTTGGTTGTGGGCAGTCCTTTTATAAGTCTGGAGTGATAACTTGCATTATCCATTACTATTACACAGTTCTTAGGAAGAAGATCTATCATTTGTTCAAACCATTCTTGAAAGACATCAGCGTTCATGTCTTTATGGTAGTCACCGGTACGAGTTGATTCAAAAGTTAATAAACCACCTTCAACAAAACCGTCTGAACTGCCAATGTGTACTATTATCAGCCTACGTCCCTTTCCTGATGGTGGGTTTAAACCAGTAGATAAGTTATTTACAAAAGCGTGCCTTTGACTTGTCACAGTTTCATCCTGCCAAAATTTATTTGGTGTATGACCCTCGTTGATCCATGTTTCATCAAGATAAAATATTTTTCTTTTTTGGTTTCTCATTTCCTTTATGGTTCTTAGAAAATGTCTTCTCTATATGACAATATCGCTTCTTTCTAATAAAATAGACTTTCTGGGATTCTTTTTCCAGCGGAAGCCTATTTCTTTTAAAAGTTTCCATAACGTACTTCGACTCATTTCTGGGTAATCCTTATTATCTCGAACTGAGACAAGAACTTTATCCAATGTTGGAAGTTCTTGTCTAAAGAAGAATTCATGCACTTTCCGTCGAAATCCTTCTTTAAAATGATATTCTATTTGAAATTTTGGTTTCCCTGGAGCATTACGTGGCATTTGAAAACTACCACATTTCTCTTCTTTAATAACTCTGTAAATCGTAGATTTCCCAACACCAAGTGTACTGCTAACAAACTCAACTGTCTCATCAACACTTTCATATAAACGTTTGTCTGTAAATGATTTAAAACAATTAAATATTAATGTTTTTTCATTAACTATTAAAAGACCAATTTTTCGGCGTTTAGTACACGGCACTTCCAAATTTTCCATAACACTAGTATACACAATAAACTGCACCTTGCAACTGAAGTACCTACTTTTAGTGAACTGTTAAGAATTTTGAATACGCCACTTGGACCTTCCTACAAAATGGAAAAACCCACTATCAAATTTTCTGTGGAATAAGTGTAGAAGGTAATTATCTAGTCAATTACTGTCGTAGATTCCTGGAATTAAAGAACTAAATGTTTGATTGTTGAAACCCTTACTTCGTGGAATGCACTCATTTCAGATAAAATAAAACGTTTTATTTTATCTAAAGAATTAAACTTTATTTTGCAAATAGGTAGGTACTTATTAAACTTTTATTCATCATCATCATTGGCTTTTACAACTCTTCGTGAGTTTTTGCCGCGTTTACTATTGCCTTCCATTGATTCCGATCCTGTGCTATTATTTCCCATGGCCTTACTTCCATCTTCTCCAGGTCTTCCCTGACAGCGTCTTTCCACCTTTTTCTAGGCCTTCCTGTCGATCTTTTACCATCTGGTCTTTCCCAAAATACATTGCTAATCAGTCTGTCGTCATCACTCCGTACCACGTGGCCTGCCCATCTTAATTAAACTAATTTAATTCTTAATTAAACTTTTATTGGTTATATATAACCAATAAAGTAAACATCTTACATTTCTTGCAAATTCATTAGTACCTATTAACCTCCATCACTCCGACACTGGCAACCTTATTTAGGGATTAGTAACCCTCACAACTATTGTATTCTATTCTGCTCCAACCTTTATACCTGGTGGTCATACTCAATTTAAAATTGTTTTCCTATATACTTCTGTAAACTTGTTGACAAATATCTGTTTTTCATTGAGTCACCCGTATCAACAGTTTAGGGATTTGCATACATAATTTATTGTTTTATTACTCTCTCATACATAAAAATACACTATAGTAAATAGAAAAAAACTTTTTATGTTGCGTACTTCAATTCCATATTTGTTGTTTATATCTGTCTCTTAGTAGTTGTGGTTTTAAGCAATTCATATTCTTATTTTCTTCTTGGAACATCCAATGGTATAATTTTAAAATACATCACAGTTTAATATTGTTAAAAAATTAATCAGTTCATAACTTACACTTTTTATAAACTTCGTTAAAGCCTGGATAATCTTTAAGGTCAGCCAGATATACCACAACCTTTAATACATTATCCAAACTGGAACCTCCAGCTTTGAGAACATGCCTAATATTCTCCATAGCTTGAGTCGCTTGAGCAGTTATGCCTCCTTCAACGACTTTATTTGTATCCCTCCTGATTCCATGACATCCTGACATGTAAAGTACATTATTAAAGGCTACAGCATGACTGAAATAAAAATAAGAATGGATTAATTATTATTAAGAGTTTATTAAACTAGATTCATCACCTCTACGTATCTGTATTAAAATATATTCAAACATGAAACATTCACGAGAAATATCTTAAATACTTTGGAATAAATTTGTCAAGAGAAATTTTCAAAAAGTGTCACTTAAACTAAAAAAGGATTAAAAAGAAATGGCAAATAATTAAGAAGAATAATTTTAGTCTCTTGAGAATATCAACAATATCAAGATAATCACGAGCTTGATGCATATAGAAACAGAAAAATAAATTACAAACAATTTGTCAATATATTGAAGAAAATTGAGAGTCCTGAAGAAGTAAAAGATTAATCATATATATCTTTTGATATAAGTGGGCAAAAGAAAAGGAAATGAAAATTTTAAGCAGAGAATCTTGAGATTATATGCTTAAGAACAGCGAACATCCTAATCCTAAGTCATATTCTAAGTTAAAAAATGTTGATGATGATGTTAGTAATAATAGTGTTAAGAATATCACAAAAAATTACATAAAAAACGAACATTTTTAATTGAATATGGATCATATTTTAAATCACTTAAATAAAATAAAAATCACCTTAAAAATGGCATAGGAGCTGGAGCTTCCTGAGATTCAATTATTTTGATTTCTAAGTTGGCCATTGTGATTCGAAAGGTGTTCAAGCAACGAAAAATCTTTCAATATATGTCAATTATTGTTCTTCAGAAACCCTTTATATATAAATGCATCACTAGATATAACAAATATATTTTTATAATACACTTAGAAGTATTTGTTTGTTGTATGTAATGGCTAATTGAAATTACTCGTTTGAGGTATTTAAATAATGTTTTCGATAAGTTAGTCTACTTCAAAAGTTCCGCTTCATGGGTTGTGTACTTACAGTATTACGGTACATTTTTTGTTATATAAATTTGCGGTGCTTTTCAATCAACTTGTTTATGATTAACAAAGAGTAACATTTAGTTCAAACTAAGGTTTAATAAATTCTTATCTATTTGTGCCAGTAAAACCAGCAGACCAACAGCAAAATTAGAAACCAATGGCACTCCTTAGATGCAGATAGAAACTTCTTGAAGAACTTCTTCATAACAAAATTAATGGTATCATTACTGAAAATTTAAGGCAGGTGGGCTTTAGATATGATCGTAGCTGCTATGACGAATTACTGGCATTACCATCCTATATCGAGGATGGTTTTCAAAAGAAACTGTAAGAAGTGCTGTAATCCTGGAAAGAAGGAGTAATGTTAAAGCTCGTAAGAGTAATTCTTCGCCAGACAATATTGTTTTGAAGTTATTTTCTTGCGGTTAATACAAGTTACTATTTTTATTGGGAATAAACCACAATTTTACTTTAAAATCAGTTTATATTCACGTATCTATTTCCACTTTGGAAATCTTTCTCAAAATACAAAACATCAATAAATTAAATTTTTGTTTTTTTTTTGTTATTTGGCAAAAAAATTATAATATCAATTATTACTAACAAATAATATATATATATATATATATATATATATATATATATGTATATATATACATATACATATATATATATATATATATATATATATATATATATATATATTAATCAATAACCCTTCTACCCTAAGGTGTTGGATGAACAAATAATAATAGCACAATACAGCAATTGCTGAACTAATATATTTATTGAAATGAAAAAGACAGCAAATATTTGATTTCACGCAAACAGCGCCTATGTATCTGTTGATACGTATTTCGACCTAATAGGTCTCATCAGAACAGTTATTCATAGGTGTTCTCAACGTGAAAGATCAATAATTTCTGTCTTTTAAGAAGCAACACTAAAATGGCTTCGATATGGACGCAATAGCGACATCTGATAATAAATCCGTAAAATAGTTTCGAAACACAATTCAGATTTCTGCTTTAATCTGTGCTTTCTAAAAATTGCAAAGCAAAACATGTTTTTCATGAAGGTGTTAAAAGAGACATGGGGAATCTAAAATTTGCATTCCACGACATGTCTTCTTCAACTAAGGAGAAATCCTTAGCGAATTGCATCAATAGCAGAAATCCTCTTTTTTCCTTTTTATGGTCTTAATTAAATGGTCTTCTTATTGATATAGATAAGGATCTACATAAAACAAGACTCCATTTTCTATGGTGATGTTATGATTTTAATTTAATCTCATTTGATTTTAAAAAATTGAAAATCATCGTTTCCATAGGCTGTATTGCCGTTTCATAACATTCCTAGTTCGTATGGGAGATTCATTATAAAGATTATCTGCTTTTAGTGATACTTTTTGAAAATTTCTCTTGACATATTCGTCTCATTGTTTTTTTCTTTCTCACATAAATAAACTTTTTTAAATTTAGATGTGATAAAGTCCTTGTTGTTTATTTCTTTTTTATTTAACTTACTTTATCGTTTTGTGTTAACCTTAATTTAAACTTTATTATTCTTTTATTTATATAAAATGATCGTCGGCATAATCAGTTGTGCTGGATGCGCTTGATTTGCTTGCTTTATCTCCACCCCCAATAATTTCTGTCCCAAGATTTCAACTCCCATGGTAATACCACAGAATAATAAGCAATCAGAATACCCACTCTCAGATGGCGCCTTTGAAGTTTTTCAGCAAGCGCGCCATGTTTTAGGAAACACATAACACAGACATATGATTTGTGAGGTTATGTAATTGTTTATATTTATGTTTATTTATATTATTATTTATATTATTATATTTACCAATGTTAATTTAATTGTATAGTATGTCTATGATTGCCGTAGTCAATTAAATCGGGTTAATTTTTGTATGCACACCACATAAACAACACTGGTTCCCTCTAAAACATGGCGGAACGTCTGCGCGAACGAGATTCGCGTACTTAATTTTCCATGGAGAGTGGGCATTCTGATTGTTTATTATTCTGTGGTAATACCCTATGTAGTAGCCAAAATATTTCGTTACAACTCAAAGTTAGACTGATTAAAGATCAATATGGATTGTTGTGTATTAGAAATTTCTGAGAAAGGCTAGCATTGCAAGGTATGGTAGAAAATGTTACCATATAAATCAATGTGTTAAAATTTGTCAAAACACGTTTACACTTTGAATAAAATTATTTTTTAAAATTGTGTTTTTTATCTAACAAACAAATTGTTTCATAATATCATAGGTAATTGATATCGCTAAAAGCTTTTCTTGTTTTGATGACGGTATTTCTGTTCATGTTGTGCAAACATTTTTAAAGAGTTGTTTTAATTTTGACTGTGAAGTATTTTTATCTATGAAATAACAGCTATATTACAAAATATATTTACGCGAATATAATTTAACATTGTGTATTCTATAATTCATATCAGAGGCTTATTTTTATATTAGAATTACAAGATAATAGTTTTTATCTACATTAAGATAATTCTACTTTTTTACCTGAGATCGCTTTCACTCCACAGATAAGTCCAGTTGGCTTTGGTGTGTCTTCCTGACTTACCTATACCCATGATACTATGACTAAGAAGATAAGATATTGCGCATAAGTCGTGACGTCATTGGAGAGTTGCACGTTGGAAATGTCAGTTTTTTGTATGTATCAATAAATAATCTTTAATAAATAGTTTGGAGATGTTCTTATGTGTACAATTATTGTAATTATTAAACCTATTAACTTATTTTTGTCTTATTTTTTGAGAAAATATATCCGAATAATCCGATTTTAGAACAGATTAAAAAAGTCCTTGTGACTATACAAAATAATCATAAACAATTACATATTGTGTGGATACCATCTCAAGTGGGGATACCAGGAAATGAGATAGCTCATTAAATGGTCAAAGAAGCTTGTAAAATGGAGAGATCTATTTGATAGAACTAACCAAATTTCTCACTCATATATGAAATAATGCATTAATGAGTACACAAAAAACTTATGGTTACGAAGATGGCAACTCTTACCAAATAATAAATTGCGGCAAACAAACCCAGATCTATCAGCGAAAACACTAACTTTAATAAAGCGAAGGAACCAGGTTGTACTACATCGTATCCGAATAGGACATACCAGACTGACGCACGAACACCTACTAAGGAGGAACCTCCTAGAATATACTACGGCTGTGACACCAATATAACTGTAGGCCACATTGTTAAAGACTGTCCATTATATCAAATGGAAAGACAAGCTACTGGACTACCAACTGATATAAAGTGCGCTTTAGACAATGCAGATTGTGACAAAATCATTAGGTATTTAAAGAAAATGAAATTGTATAATCAAATATAAGTAATACTTCAAGAAAAATTCTAAATTATATTCAACTTTGTAAAAACTTTATAGTATATATTTTATATTAATCATTATAATATATTATATTGTACCACCACTACTAACCTTCTATGGTTGATGTGGGTTATTCGAAATAAAAAGAATATATTAAGCTATTCTTACACTTATTAATGAGAGTATAACAGCATAACTAATAAACCAAGTATAAAACTTATACTGAGAATAAACCAGGTATAGGCAAAATCTTTACCAATAAACACGGAATAACTTAGATATAGATTATACTTGATATAAGAATTTATTCCAAGATTATACCGACCCGCACCCTAGTTTAAGTCTGGTATAACGGTATAACCTATTTTATAAATGTGAAAGTTTTCAGTGACAATATATTGTTTTTTGTATTATTTTGTGAGTAGCTATTTAATAAAAAAATGTGTTTTTAATAGCTATTTAATAAAAAAAAGAGGTGTTGCGGCTGTCTAGGAAGTTGATAATTTAATTAACATGATGGAAAATACACGAAAAAGAAAAACTTTTAAAGAAATAATAAATCCCTTTTCAAAATACTGATAGAGAATTAAAAATAAAATATCGGTTTTCTAAAGGCGGTGTAAGGTTTTTTTGCAATTTTTTAAATACTCCAACTCAAAATATAAGATATATATGGTGTCAGTTGTCATTGTCAGTTTCAGGAAAAATCAAAATTGACATATTTTACTCAATATTTCGTTGTTCTATGTATTTATGCAAAAAATTGCGACATTGCCAAACTATTATTTCGGAATAAAGTGGGAATACTTATAACTAACTTATACCGAGTTTATTTGTAACAAATTATTTTAGTATTATATTTACCTTATACTTAGGATAACTATTCTAAGTATAAATACGGAATAACCTTAGAATACGAGTGTTTTATTAGTAAGACAGTGTTGGTTTCCCTTATTCTACACAATTCTAGTTCTACTAATGAATTCATAGTCTTCCTACGCTTTTTTTGCCTTTGATTTAGCCCTGCATTATATTCCTTAATAAGTAGTTCGTATTTTTCACCACTCATGATGTGCCCCAAGTATTCCAGCTTCCTGATTTTTATGGAATTTCAAACTTCTCGTTGTTTCCTAGTTGTTCGAGAACTTATGTGTTTGTTTTGCGATCCATCCATGATATTTTCAGAATACGATGGTAACATTAAATTTCGAATACTTCCAGTTTTTTAATATTGGATTGTTTTGGTGTCTAGGCATCAAACCCATACAAATATGTGAAGAAAATATAACATCGAAGCATTCTTATCCGGAGCGTTGAATTGCGCTTACAGAAAAGTTTCCTCATTATGTTAAAAGTTGACCGTGCAATTTCAATGCGGCAAATCGATGATGATAATGAAAATGTAGAGATAAATAATTGTATAACGGTATAACTATAATATAAATTTATTAATAACTCAGTACAAATCTAATTCAGAATATATCCTTTTACAATTTAGCGTGACTAGTAACAACGTTGCCAACGGCAGCAATAACTTCTATCTCCACTGAAGCATTCATTGGTAGAACAGCAACTTGGAATGCAGTTCTTGCTGGAGGATCCTTGTTAAAGTCTGTAAAAAAACATGACTCTTATGAATTCAAAATTTAATGTGTTTTAATGTATGTAATATAGTAAAACTTTATTTATAATAGTCGATTCATTCAGCTTGGGAATATTTTGACACTTATTGTAGCAAACATAAAACAAAACAAAAGTTCCTACCCCGAATTATTAAGAAATAAATTTACTTTTTTAATTCATCAAAAAAATAATCATAAATAATGGAAAAGTATAACTTTTGTTTTATTCTTTTGTTTGACGCAGTTTTATTTTGCTGATAAAATGCATGTAAATAATTGTTTACTTTGAAGATATAATTAATATTAGTTACATGTGCTTGGTTGTATAGTAATGTCCAGCTAATTCCAGTCAAAGTAAAAAATTTGTCCAACATTACTAAATTTACCAGAGAGTTTCAGGGAACCTGACATTGTAAAAACATTAAGGTAACACGTCTTAGATGGATAGGGCATTTAATCAGGCGAAAGGAAGGTGCAACAGCCAGAAAAGTTTTTTACCGAAGAGGGCCGATGGGACAACGAACTAGAGGAAGAAACTTAAGTACCAAAACATGGTGCATGGAGCACGTTAGAGCATGGAGAAGAGTTGCCAGAGCCAGGAGTCAATGGAAGATTGTTCTAAAGAAGGCAATGGCTCATAACGAGCTGTGATGCTACTGATGATGGTGGGCCTGAATTATGATGATGATAGAGTATAAATTTATAGATTTTTTGATGTAAAATGTGATTACTTGAATCACTTTTTGACATATTTTTCATTTGCAAATGAACCACCATCCAAACATTGTAGCATTTTCAATTTCATTGATTCTTTGAAGTATATTGAAGTCCCCTCGTATACGAAATAATAAAATCACCTTATATATTCTTGATAGATCTAATAATATTTCGTACGTATTTAAACCCAAATATCTTTTCATTTCTTTCTAAGGTCGGCTAAGTTGAAATAAACCATTTTAGAGTTGTTTATTTATTTTACTTCGGCAAATTTCTTTTCAATTTTATTGCGTCGCAAAAGGATATGTACGTCGTTTCGTGGTGTCTTGTTATGTCAGCGTTTGTATGTATGCGTTCAATTTTAATAAAATTTCTTCACTCTCGTTGTAGCAGCTTTCAAGAGCGGTTCAACGTTATGTCCAAATTCACGTCGAATTTGTAAAGTATTCTGTTTTCATCTTTTGTCATGAAGAATATGTAGCAGTTTGTTATTGGTTTTGTGGCAGTAAATGCTTCAATTATTAATGTTTTGAGTGAGGATTGGAGGACATCCTCGTTTTGTTTTTTTTTTTGGTCCTGTTTTTATCCAAGGCTTTTGGCAGTTTGACGATGGAGGTTTTCGTCATGCAGAGAGAGTGGAGCCCTCAGTTCCAGGTTCCAGTTATGGTTTCAGAAAGTTATATGTGATCATGTGAATTAAGGTAACATTTTGTTCAAATTTTAAACTAAAGACAGACATTTTTTTATAAAGTAATAATTGCTTTCGTTGACATTTAAAATTGTAAATTTTAGGTTTTGAGTAAAGCTGTCAATTTGTGTTTAGTTTTTTTTGAAATTTAATGTTAATTTATGACAGCTCGTTTTAGTATTTTTGATGTTGATTTGTTTTGTTTTTTTAAAAGGTTAATAGATGACACATGTAAGTTTTTTGAATTTTGTATTTCTCCAAGTTTTTGTGTTTTGTTTTTTCTCCATGTAACTGTTTGTGGTGACACATAAATAAATGTTAAATTTTGTTGTCTTAACATTTTATTTTTTTTTGAACTAACCTTTATTGAGTTTATTTGAAAAAGATATGTTTTTTTTTATGTTTTGATTTTGTTTTCTAATTATTTCCCTAGTTACAACTAGTGGTTGTAATAGGCATAATTAGGCACCTCAAGTGGCGCCCTATAATCAAATTTCTTGAGGTGTTTTCTGTTTAATTTTATTTTGTTTATCCCAAAAGCCCTTTATTTCATTTTCTTGTAGTTGCCCCATTCCACTCCCCTTATCTTTTACTTATCCACGACCCCAGCTCTCCTACGAAACCCTGAGTGCCGTTAGCACAAGTAACGTATATTTTGCTTGTCCTATCTTCACCCCCAATAGTTTCTCCCCCAATTTTCTGCCCCTTATATTAATGCCCCTGTGGTAGGCAAAATATCTTCGTTACAACATTAGCTTGAAGCTCATCAAACAAATGGAAAACAATTTATTTTTTATACAAGAGATCATATAATATATATCAGAACTAAATGACAACTAATGAGAACTCAAAACATGTAGATTTTTCCCAATAAACAAAATACAATTAAAAGATCAATCACTTACATTTAAAGTAGACTTCATTAACTGCAGTATAATCCTTGATATCTTTCAGGTAAATCGTACTTTTCAAAACTTGACTTAAATTGGAATTGCCAGCTTCTAAGATATTTTTAATGTTTTCAATTGCTTGTGTAGCTTCTGATGCTGCTCCTCCCTCGACTAATTTATTTGTATCTTTTGAAATTCCCAATGAACCGGAAAGGAAGAGCATATTATTAAAGGAAACGGCCTGACTGTAAAAAAATAAATAATATTAAAGGTAAAATAATTACTTAATTGTGTAAAACTAATTTGTAAGGTGCACTTTAACTTTGACATGATAAAATTTGTAAAAAGTTTTTTTCTAAAAATAAGAAGTGCCTTTTCTTTAAGGGTCAAATCAATTTTTTGTTTCTTAGTCTGCCTTAGTATCTACTCTGTATATACCTTTGATTATTAATTTTTCTTAATAGATATATATCAATTTTTAATTTCCTTATATTTAAACGTCATAATCGTCAATACCAAATCCATAAACACCTCAAGAGAATTTTTGGATAGTTTAAAAAATCATTTTAATTTTAATTTTTTAAACCTAACTTTTTTCTGAAACATTACCATTCTCAGAAATATATTGAATGCAAGATAAACGATATTGGTTTCTGTGTAAAAAAATTAACGAATTTAAAAATGTTATTAACAAAAAGTGCGACGACTTTGAAAAATGCTGGAATAATATGATGGCAAGAAGATTTTATCCTAAAAAAGAAACGCATACGCAATGATAATGTTGGAGATGTTGAATCCCGCTGCCGCCGACTATACTATCACATTTTATCTCAAATTTACCAACAAATGGAAAATATGTTTAAGAATTTTGATAATCTAGACTTTCTTGAAAGGTGCAGTTTTAATGTATTTAAAAAAAACACATTTTCTTGAAAAACAAATAAAATCAATCTTTGATACGTCTTTATGAACAATATTTTGACTTAATTGCATTACGTTCGGAACTAATAGCTTTATACGAAACTGAGGACATTGACACAAAAAAAATAATGGCAGTGAGTTACTAATATTTTAAAAACAACTTCTTTGGACAAAGCATATTCGGAGGTAGTGAAATTATGCGAGTTAGTACCTACCGACCATTTCAGCTCCTAGTGTCTCTGTAGAACGTATTTTGTCAACTCTAAAACGAATAAAGACTTCAGCAACTCGACAGGACAAGATATACTCTCTAATGTTTTCCTTTTACAATTGAAAATAATCTGGTTAAATAAATGTCACAATATCCACGTTTTTACAAGGAAGATATAGATGAGTTTGCGAAAAACGGTAGAAGAATTGAATTGCATTATAAATATATGGGTTTTTATAATTTTTCTATAAATTGCTTCCTTTGTTTCATATTTCACAGCTCGCCCCTGAAGAAGAATAATTTACAATAAAAATCCAACCACTTTGGGATAAGAAAAATGAAGAAGGATTTGTTTTATGTGTTATACTCCTGACAAGAATGTGTGTATAGATGAGACGATGATTCCTTTTCGAGGACGACTGAGCTTTCGCCAATATATACCGGGGAAGCGTCACAAATATGGTGTGAAATTATTTAAACTATGTGGAGTGAAAGGTTACACATACAATTTTAAAATTTATACAGGAAAAGAGCAAACACCTAATGAAAAGTCAATTGGTACAAAAGTGGTGCTACAGCTTATGGAACCACTTTTACATTCAGGTCGCGTTTTGTGCACAGATAATTATTACACTAGCGTGAATTTAGCACACGAACTTCTGAACAAAGATACACATTTAATAGGCACACTCAGAAAACACAGGAAGCATAATCGAAAAGTAGTAAGTGAGGCTAAATTAAAAAGGAGACAGAGTAACAGTAAAATCATAATTGGAAAATGGAAAGACAAAAGAGATGTCATGTTTCTCACTACGGAGTCTGTGCCTGAAATAGTGGACGTGCCAACAAAAAGGGGTGTCGTGAGAAAGCCTTCCACAATCGTGCAGTATAATAATGTGAAATCATTTATAGACGTCTCTGATCAAAAAGCATCATATTCATCAGCAGTGCGTAGGGGTATTAAGTGGTATAGGAAAGTTTCAATTGAACTTTTGGTTAACACATCTATTATAAATGCACATACTGCATACGAGGCTATAACAAACAAAAAGATAAGTGTCACTAAATTTAGAGAAGAAATCGCCTCAGAAATTTTTCGTAGTCAAAATATTCAGATGAAAAATTTGGATGATCGTCGTGTTAACCAAGAAAGAAATCACAAACTTTCCGAAGTGGAACAGAGAGGTCGTTGTACAAGATGTTATAAAAATAATAGTGCTAGAAATGGACGTAACTTTGCTATAAAAGAAACAAAACGTGTTAAAACATCTTGTCTAGAATGCAGTGATAAGTTTTTGTGTACCAACTGCTTTTTTGACACTCATGTGTACCATCAAAATGGTACACATGGTTTCTAAGAAGAAAGCGATAATTACGCATTTATTTCTGCCACAAACTGTGTGTACCATTTTTTGACATGGCCCTTACACATGATTTTTTTTCAAAAAAATACCTAAATGTTGATATTTACATGTTTTTAGTATTAAATATTGTGAATTTTACCAAAATATAGTTTTAGTTTCTGACAAAAAACTTCAAATTTATAGCCAGTAGCCAAAGTGTTAAACTGTTATCAAAAACATCTACTGGTATCAGTGTAAACATCTGAACTAGAAAAAAATTAACAAGTTAAAAACATTAACAATCTCAGCGAAGCAGACGATGTAGGAGAAGTTGCATAGACGAAAAAGAAGAGGAAAATCAGTTAAAAAAAATAAGAGAGATATTCACACAATTTTTAAAATCTTAAAAGTTAATATTTACAATAGGTACGTAAAAGATTAAAACGGTATGTTTGAAAAGCACTTAGTGAACCGAAAAAAATTAATAAATTTACATATATTTACCATTCTCGTTTATATCTAATACTCAGCAAAAAGTTAATATTTACATACCTGTATACTGGTACTACAGGGGCAGGTGCTTTAGTAGATAACACAATTTTTCTAACGAGATTGGCCATTTTTAAAGAACTCTTAGTTACACTTACACAATCCTATCTCACTAAATAGCTAACTGTTGCCTACTTTATTTTATCTTATATTTTATAAATTCATGGTCAAAGTTCGTGTTACATAAAGTTATGTTATTGTTGAAATGTTATATTCAATACTTTGTTGTAGCACCATATGCATAAGCAGCGTGACTGTCAATAAATTAATTTATGTCATACTAATATTTTGATTTGATTACTTAGTTACGAACTTATCCGTGCAGACACAAGTGTACTTTTTATCCTGGGCGGGAATTAATCAGTTTTTGATATTTGTATTGACTGACTCATTAAATTTTATTCGTATTATGTATTAGTATAAAGTATTATGTAGTATGTATGAAGTACTATTAAGTAATTATCAACGTAACCATATTAAAATTTGTAGACTGGAGATTTCAAAGAGATGGTTTGGTCTTGTTTGGACCTTTTGGCACTACAACCTATGCAACTGGGGTTCAAAGGGGTAGTGAAGCGCAATATAAGATACTGTTTCCAGTTAGCATTCTCTAGCCTCTCCTACTCAATCCCTATCCTCACCTCTACGAAGTGCGGCTTGGGCTGCACGGGTGAACCCTGGAAAACCTGAGCAACCTTGCTGGAGATTGGGCAACCAACTCCAGTGGAAGGTAGAGTCAGGGCTGACGAGGAAGGGAGAAATAGTCTTCCGAAAAGGGAGTTGGTGAGCAAGGTTAGCAGCCTACCTACTGTCAAAAAATCAATGCTCATAGAACCAAACAGAAGCCTCGGAATTGGACGGATACACAGATGACGAACCACACAAGAAAAAGGACAAAGAGAACATCGCACACTTGGAACATCGCATCGTGGAACAAACGGGAACATTAAGTTGTGCAGGAAATATAGCTCCATATAATTGATATATGTGCCCTGAACGAAACAAAAAAGAAAGGGAAAGGAAGTGCCAATTGAAACAAATTTATATTCCTGTACAGCGGAGCAGATAAAAGCAAACGAGCTCAGACAGGAGTAGGCCTCTTGATACACAATAAATATAGTAACAATATTCAAGAAATAAGATACATCAACGAAAACATAATGCTGGTTTGCCATAAACTTCACCAGACGATACTTAATATTATCCCCGTATATGCACCGGATAACAACAAAAACAAGGAAGACAAAGATGCTTTTTATGAACAGCTCCAAGATCTACTGGACACCACAATAGCCGGTAGTAAAACAATAATTCTCGGCAACCTAAACGCCAGAGTAGGCAAAATACCTGTGGCTGGAGTTACACAAAGATTTAACGAAGAAACGCTCAACAACAACGGAGAAAGACTTCTAGAACTTTGTTTAATAAATAACCTTCGAAATACCAACACATACTTTGACCACCCAATACAACATAAGATCACCTGGTCAGATACAAGAGGACGTAACTCTATGATTGACTACATTATAACAAACAGATAAATACACCCCAAGAATAAAATAGATGTGCGCACTGTATTTCTACAACTATGTTTTAGTCCAAAAGGTCTAGACTGCTTTTTAGGTTGGTAGAAATCTAATTTTTTCTCCAATCTTGATGTCACTTACCTAGTGAATAGCTTGTATATGTGGATCAACAGGCTAATAGGTCTATAATTTTCTAGGTCCGTTCTATTTCCATTTTTATGCAAAAGAATGGTTATGGCATTGTTCCATACTTTGGACACTTCTCTTTGCTGCATACAAAGATTAAACAGTTTCCTTAATGTATTTAATAGCATATCTCCTCCATTTACGATAACTTCTGTTAGAATTCCAAACTCTCCTGGGGCTTCGCCATCATTTCTGGGATTAATTTAGAACCTTGATTCATGATATTCTTTGATCTTCTCGTCTACTTCCATATAATTCCTCGTAAAACTCTTCGACGACCTGTTATTTCGTTTTGCTTGTTTCTTAACTTATGAATTTCACATTTCCCATTCGTTAGCTTTCTACGTAGAATTTTTAGGCTGTTTTTTTCCTGTATAGTACGTTTAATATTATCAGCTTTAAATTTCCTTAAATCTTAGACTAAGACCACGACTGAGCTAGATATAGGGGATCTAAGGCACTGCTACTGACGTTGTAAAGGTGTAAAAACGGAGGATCGTTAGAGTTTTCTTCGCTGAGGAGGTAGACCTATTGGCACTGGCAGACGACAGGCCCAGTTTTCAGATGTTTCCAAGACACCGGTGAAGAGCCTGATTGAAAAGACCAAAATAATTAAAACTACGAATCTAATAGACCGGCAAATAGATAAAAATACAATTGTGACGTAATATACTCGAAAGTCAAGCAGTCCTAAAAATACTCAGTTGTTTACAAGTTGACTTAAAGCTTGTATGAGGCTGAAGGAATATTCTTATTCGGGTTGGAAGTCGAAGTTGAGACTAAGCTAGATACCAAGGGCATAGGGATTACCGAGACAACAAGAAGCCTGATTAATTGTACGGGAAGCCCGTGAAGGAGCATCATGTACAGCAAGTTTAAAATAGAAGCAGATTTACAGCAGACTACTAAGCCAAAGCTGAAATGATATTATAATAATAGTATGACTGTTAACTCTGTTAGTTCAAAAATCATTTGAGTCGTATGAATTCGGCAGAAGAAGCTTTTTAACTGTTGTATCTAGAGAATGAGAAGACCAGATTTTACGTCTTATGATAATGTGAATTAATTGCAAGACTGAAGTGTCTAGAACAGGGATGGCCAACCCACGGCACGCGTGCCACTCTGTGGCACGATTGAGTCCTATCAGTGGCACGCGTAGCGTGCCACTGATAGGACTTTCAAACTGATCAAACTTTCAAAAAAATTAAAACTTGAAAAACAAAAAATAATAAGAAGAAACTTGGTAGGTTTACGGAAGTTACGATAGATGCGGCATCATTGCATCCTCTGGCGAGCGATATTGCTGCGATTGGTGCACGTGATCCTAGCTGTCGTAATGTGCAATAGGACTGCGTTACCCTTGCTTAGTTTATTTTAAACTGCCCCGTTGTATGTGCACATTTTGTCATCGCGCATTGTTTCTTTAAAATTTTAAAAGTATTTGTTCGATATGTCCACGAGTAAGCCTTCGACTTCAAAACGAAAATACGAAGATGATATTGCAATTCGCGATTTTATACTAATCGTAATACTTCAAAGCCTGTTTGTTTGATATGTGGATTGTCTGTAGCAGTTCCGAAAAAATTTAACGTGAAACGACATTATAAACAACTGCATAAGGACTTCAGCAACAAATATCCTATTGGTTCACATTTGCGAGCCGACTTTATTGAAAATAAAAGAAAACCCTAGCCAGCCAACAGTCACTGTTTCAGAAGAGAAGTGATGAAATGGAAACTATAGTTAAAACATCATATGAACTTTCTCTTCTGTTAGCCCGGAAGAAAAAAGCCTACTCTGATGGAGAGGAGACAATTAAAAATAGTCTGGCAATATTTGCTAAAAATGTGTGAGATGTAAAGATCAAAAATATGGTCGATAATATTGCATTATCCCGAAATACAGTCATGCGCCGTATAGATGATATGGGCCAGGATCTTGTTTCCCAAATTATAAGTGGATTACAATCCTGCAAATTCTTTTCTTTAGCGTTGGATGAAAGTTGTGACAACACAGAAAATGCGCAGTTAAGCATTTTTGTCCGTTATACCAATGATAATTTTGAAAATGCCGAAGAGCTTCTGGATTTGCGCCAACTAGTCACAACAACAAGAGAGGACATTTTTCAACAGCTTAAAAACGTAATCGAAGTCAATAAAGTTGAATGGTCAAAATTAGATAGTGTTTGTACAGATGGAGCTCCTTGCATGGTTCATAGACTAAAGGGGTTTGTTACATTACTGGAAAACTATTTGGGAAGAAAAGTTTTTAAGTACCATTGTATTATTCACCAGAAAGCTCTTTGTGCCAAGGACCTAAACATGTCATCTGTTGTTGACCCTGTAACACGCTGCATTAACAAAATACGAGCTCGGGCATTGAATCGACGACAATTTCGAGAACTGTTCGCGGAAGAAACGGAGCAAGATGGAGAGTTACTTCTCCACTGCAGTGTGCGCTGGCTCTCCAAAGGAAATGCACTCGAAAGGTTTTGGAACTTGAAGGAGTGCGTCTTAAAATATTTGCAAGAAAACAATGAACTACCCAGTGAGTGCTCGTTACTTAATGATAAAGATTGGCTTTGGGATTTAGCTTTTCTCACTGATATTATGAGACATTTACCTAAATCTATTAAATTTAAGATTACAGGGAAAAAATTGCATTTTTCCTACTCTAGTTGGTCATATATCTTCTTTTGTGAATAAACTTATGCTTTTTTGTAAAGATTTTGGAGAACAGAGATTGACACATTTCACATTAATGCAGGAATTAGCCAACAAGGTCAGTAGAACTCCAAGTTATGACAGATTTAAAAACCTTATCTATTTTGCTAGGTTCATTCAATACCCGGTTTGAAGATTTTCAAAAAGACAAAATGAATGTTGACCTTTTCATAAATCCTTTTTCTATTTTTCTGCAAGATATCAATTATTACTCAGCTGAAATACAGATCGAAATTATTCATTTACAGAACCACACTATACTAAAAACCAAATATAGGGAAATTATTTTAACTGTTACTGATCCCAATTATATTGAATTTTGGAAATTTGTACCAGCAAACAATTTTCCTAATTTACACGAGTTAGCTCTGAGATATTGTTGTAGATTTGGTTCAACGTACGTTTGTGAGCAAATGTTCTCTATTATGAACATAATAAAATTAAAATATCGGTCACGATTAACTGACATGCATTTAAAAAATCTAATTCTGTTGGCTAGTTTCGAAATTAATCCCAATATAGATGAATTAATTAAAAAAATACAAGTTCAAATACCACATTAAATAAATAACTATTTAATAATTTGAATTTTAGATAATAAGAAAATATTTAAGTTTTTTTGTTTAACGTTTTTATTTTATTTTTATTAACAATAAAGTAAGTTTGTTGTTATATTTTACTTATTACGTTATTTTTTAAACCTCAACTATCTTGACTAAACGGAAAAATGTGGAATTTACATAAGAAATACATATTGTACCGTATATTATTAATATATATTATCCATATTAGTATGTCGAAAAATTT